GAACGAAAGGCGTTATTCAATTACTAATCCTGCCACAAGCTGCATAGCTCAACTTGCTAGCATGACGGATACCCGTGCATTTGCTCTGGCCAGTCATATTTTGTCCTGGATGTTTTTGACGCTGGCTCGATCCCGTTAACTTGATCGAATGGAGCTTATCTCAACTTTTTGACGCTGGCTCTGATTACCAGTCGATGGAACGGGTCCCGGTTTCCATCTCCTGCGGTTATTAACCATGCTTTGCCCAATTGACCTCACTTAGAAGGTTAACCTCTCATGCGAATCAAAGAACACGAGCCATAACAAGATAGACGCAATCTGAACATATAGCAGTTGTAGATGAAGCTTACAAGTTGGGGTCTCACAGACTGATGAACAACGAAACTGTTTGATAATATATTACTCTAAGAAAAAACTAACCCTAACATGAGCGGCGATAGATCAATATAATGTCCTTGGGAGCATACATGAGCGGAGAGAAAAGAAGATATTTCCTAACGAGTCGCTCCTTTCAGCTAATTTCTGACGGTTTTTTGCCAATAGCAATCGCATTACTGATGGTTTTTAGGCCTTTCATGACTGTTTTTAGCCAAAAGGATCGAGTGTTTCGCTATGTGGTAGTGTTGGTACCATCGATCTTCAAATTTTTTTCTTACCGGAGTGTTCATATCTAAATGTCTCATCAGTGGGGTGGCGAAGCTAGGATAAATGGTCTCGCCGGAGTCGGTACTTACGGTGACAGGACTAATTTATAGGTTGCCATAATATAATATATATAATACCATGCTAACATCAAATTGATAAAATAAAATTGTATATTGCAACAAAATGAGTTTTCACAACGGTAGTTACCTCGCCGAAACTATCACCGAACTATGTAAGCTGCAAGTCAATAATTAGGGTAATTTCCTTTTAAAGAATCCTTCCTTGGTTACCAATGAAATTAATCACACAAAAAAATTATAAAGTGCTAAATTACTAATGTGCAAGCACCCATGCGTGTCGCCATCGAGCAACCACAACGTGAGGCACGACAGCAGGACGCGGGCGCTCGTGGCCGCCCTGAATGCCTGCTCCGTGGCCATGACTCACATGGCGAATCAACAAGTGCGTAGTTGCCATGTGCATACTCCTGTATGTATGGGTCGCAAAAGGCAGGCAGGCACGCAGGCTCATCCATCGGTTTCATCACTGACGCAGACTGCACACATGCAGCAGGCCATGAGGCACATCATTCCAGCTGCGCGCGCGCGCGGCAGAAATCACACTACTAGCCTACGCCCTACTACAGGACGGATCCAGGAAAGAGGCACACAAATTTAAGGCCACAGGCTGGTGCTGGCGATTGTCAGACTCAGTCGGTCACCATAACTAGGGCCGATTGCATCAAAGTTCTAAGTTTTTTCACTCTCTCTCCATTACATCAATTTTTGGACGTATACATGGAGCATTAAATATAGATAAAAAAGTAACTAATTATACAGTTTGAATGTAAATTACGAGATGAATCTTTTAAACCTAGTTAGTCCATAATCGGACAAAGTTTGTCAAATACAAACGAAACATGCTACAGTGTCCAGATTGCAAAAATTTGCAATCTAAACAAGGCCTAGGGCGTGTCTGGCTTCTGCAGCAACCCTTAAAATTTATGTACCATACAATGTTTGACACATATATGAAGTATTAAATATAAACTAATTATAAAACTAATTACACAACTTGCTACTAATTTACGAAACGAATCTTTTAAGCCTAATTAGTGCATGGTTTGACAACGTGGTGCTACAGTAAACATATGCTAATGACGAATTAATTAGACTTAAAAAATTCATCTCGTAAATTAGCCTCCATCTATGTAATTGGTTTTATAATTAATCTATATTTAATGCTCCTTACTAGAATCTAAACATTCGATGTGATATGAATTTTAGGAGCGACTAAAAAACCAAACACCACACATGTGATGTGTTTGGTTTGTGGCCTACCTATGGCCTGGCTGGGGTCTAAATCTGAGCAGCTTTAGTCTGCTCTTATCAAGACAGTCAGCGTTATCTAAACTTGGCTAAGGGCGTGTTTAGTTCCATCCAAAACCTAAAATTTTTTGCGTAGTATCCATCACATCGAATCTTACGGCATATGCATGGAGTACTAAATGTAAACGAAAAAAAACTAATTACACAGTTGGGTGAGAAATCGCAAGACGAAACTTTCAAACATAATTAGTCTATAATTAGACACTAATTGTCAAATACAAACAAAAGTGTTACAGTACCCAAAACCAAAAATTTTTATCAACTAAACAGGCCCTAATTTGGTTGCCTGAATTGGTTTGTATAGAATTACTCTTCGTTGAGCTGGTAAGTTTACCCCCCTATGAGATATATTTTGCCAAACATGTGGTGGGCGTGCTCATCTACACGGGCATCGGTGAGCACTTGCGCAGATCCATCCGAGCACGAAGGGAGGCGTGAGGAAGTAACGAGCACAGGACGTCCTCTGCCACACGCGCTACACCATGAGGAAGGGGACAACATCCGGCTGGTTGCGTCGGCGTTGTCGCTCAGGCATGGCGCCGCAGCGAGCACGCGGGGTCCGTCGAGGCGCTGCCCGGCACACGAACGCGGAGGAGCTGTGCGGCCGAGGGACTGCGAGGATGCCCAGCCCGCGGACGCCATTGACGCCCCTCCCCTGCTCTGCTTGGCCACACTGCAGAGTTCCCGTCCACGAGTGCGTTCGATGGAAGGGTGTTGCTTGCTTGTGGAGCTCCCGTCCACGAGCGTGGTCAACCTCGAGCCGCACCGCGTGGACCTCCGCTTGGATCTCGCGGGATGAGCGCGGCGCAGCCGACGAGCTCGCCGGGGATGCGGTTGGCCGGCGCGCAGACACAGACGAGCTGCGCGGACGCGGATGTGGACGAGCTTGCCGGGGAAACGGGTCGCCGGCGAGCGGACGCGGAGGAGCTGCGTAGACGGCGAGGAGCTGGCTGGGGAAACGGGTGACCGGCGACGGACGCGGAGGAGCTACCGGGGAGGCGGGCGGTGATGCGCGCGTGGATAGCGGGAGGTGAGGCGAGCGGATACGCGCGCTGGCTCGGGCCTGGCTCCGTGGAAACGGCCGCCCACCTCGCTCCAGCTGGCCTGGCCAAGAGCATCTCCAGTGTTTTTCTAAATCTCGCTCTTTAAATCATGATTCAGAGAGTCATTTTTATAAAAATCGCTTTCTATATTTTTTTTACTCTCCAATAGCTTTTCTATATCTCGTGCACACTCTAAAAAGTCATTCTCGTCTTCTATTTTTGGCTAGAGAAAAATCTGGAATAGAAGATGGCTATATTTACATAACTATTTAGACAAATTATTGGAGGGTAATTTTTTATCAAAATATCTATTCGTAGCATTTAGGATGGATATAGAGAGTCTCTTGGAGTTGCTCTGCCTGGCCCAATGAGACACCAAACAGGCTAAAACTGGCTTATTGAAGCTTAGACAAGACTTAGGCAACCAACAAAACACACCTGTATGCTACGTGCAGTGGACGTGACTTTCTGCATGGACGGCCGGCCATCTGCTACTAGCAGGTAGGAGGCTTATGGTTCGGTTGGATTCACACGTTTGACGAGGCCTCATGCACGCACGCAGGCCATGTTGGTTTGAACTTCTCAGAATCTACGGTATTTTTCCTTCACACCAAAACAGCTTCAACTGACTTATCAGTCAATTTATGTATCAGCCGAAGAGCCCTCAACTGTTTCGTCAGCCTCGAAATGTCAAAAGGACGATAGAGAAAACAAAGCTGGAAATAATTAAAAGCTGTGGCAGGTAGGGGGCAAAGAGGTATGGATAATCCTCCGCTTCGATCCACTCTGAATCTGAATTTTAAGGATATGGAGAAGTAATTTTAATATCCATATGGATACAGATAATCCAAATCCGATTATATACGGATGCGGAGTAGGATATGGGATTTGCAAAATCCGGCGGATATGGATTATCCGATAATTAAACGTGGATTATCCGACGCTTATAATAGGATAATCCGAATATTTTAAGGAGCTCAAGCGGCAAGAATACAAGTCAGCCCAACCAACAAGCAATGCTCGTCAACTATATATACTAATTTAACTATCTTTTCACACGACATGAAATGATAATCCTACTAATTGCCTATTTGCCCAATTGGCGTCAACTATACATACTAGTTAACAATATTTATTTCTTTTACACGCTTGTTTTATACTCTTAAATCTAAATTGAGAACTTGTATTAATTTTGTGAGCTCTTAAATCGAAGTGGTGGATTGATGGTGATTATTTCGAGTTGTGTTGCCGCTTTATGACTTTGATTAATGAATTATTTCTCATCATAAAAAACAACATATAAACACATATTATCCGACTTAAAAAGTCCACTTCCGCTCCGACACCGGTCCGAATCCATACAATTTCCAACATCTAAAAAATTCATATTCGTAACCGAATCCGTATAATATCCTCTCCGTTCCGAATCCAATAAAATAAAATGGATTAGGATATAAAAAAACCATTAACCACTAGCGTGGTCAACCTCGAGCCGCACCGCGTGGACCTCCGCTTGGATCTCGCGGGATGAGCGCGGCGCAGCCGACGAGCTCGCCGTCCGTTTTTATCCCTAGTGGCAGGTACGTGAAGGAACGAAGCTAGTAGCAGAATTGAAGAATTGAACACACAATGCCAAATTGAAGGCATGGTGGCCATATATAAAACGAAGACCGACGAAACCAGGACAGACGGTCTCGCCAGTGTCGGTACTTACCATGACAAGGACTAACTTAACTTATATGTTGTCATAATATAATTAGAGTAAAATACTGGCTCCATGCCATTTAGGTCCATGAACTCTCAAACTCAAAATACGACTCCTTAAACTTGTTAAGTCGTGCACCATAGACCCATACCCCTTTATGTAGCTGCTGACTAGGTTAAAATTTTATAAAAAACACCATATCATTGCTATCACGTATCTTCAGCTGAGATGGGCACGCATGAGCACGACGAGCTCATGGCCAACGTTGAGAACGGCACCTACGCCAAGCTCATCTGCATGAAGGAGCAAGCGCACGAGGCGGCGCTCGTCAACACCCGCCGCAGCAGCGCCAGGCCCTCCAACGCCCACAACTCCGTCATCCTGCTGCTGGACGAGGTCACCAGCACGCTTGACTCCGACTCGGAGAAGCTCAGGCAGGAAGCGCTGGACCGCTTCATGATCGGGTGCACCACCCTGGTGATCGCGCACAGGCTTTGAGCCCCAGGTAGTTGCTGGCAAACGCCTTGAACGCCTCGAAGTCGCAGAGTGTGAACTAGACGTGGACGTCAAGCTAGCCCAGGCGCAGCACCGCGGCGTCGATGGCGTCCTTGCCCCCGCGCATGGTGTACACCCATGAAGCGCTCCTCGCCGTAGCACGACACGTCGACGAGGACTAGCGAGCGTGGGGTGGTGTGCAGGAGCAGCGCGCGGAGTTCCTCGTCGGCGCGTGACAGGTTGATGTCGTAGCCCAGGAACCTCGCCATGGCCGCCGCGAACGTGGACTTGCCAACGGCCGGCGAGCCATGGAGGAGGTAGCTCCCGCGCTAGATGCGACCGAGGCGGTGGTAGTAGGCGCGGCCTTTGAGGAAGCCAACGCCTAGCGCGTCGCACCCGTGGTCGCGTCCACGTCGGCGTTGGTGAACGGCCGCAGCTCGCGGCGGTGCTGCTCCGTCTCATCGGCAACGGACTCCACATGCTGCAGGTAAGGCCGCAGCACGCGGGGCGGTCGTGGCGGCGCACGCGCAGCACCAGGCGCTCGCCGGACCCTCCGCCGGCACCGCCGCCGCCCGCGCTGGTCCTTGCGACTGCACGAGGCGAGTCCCGAGGATGTTGCTCCCTCAGTCGCACGCGCTCGCGGCGTCACTCATGGAGCGCCTCGACTGAGCTGCTCCGGTGCATCTCTGGTGGCCTAAGCACCTCCAAGTTGAGCTACTGGTGCTTTTGCTTGTGCGCGGAGGAGTGGTGGACACTACTACAATAATCATTTGTAGGGGCGGCTAAAGATCGTTTGTAGAGGCGGCTCAGCCAGCCGTCGCTACCAAACTGTCTTTACAAATCATGCATTTGTAGGGGCGGAACCGTCCCTACAATTCGATTTGTAGGCGGCTACAGTACCAACCGCCCTTACAGTACATTTTGCTGCCAAAAAAATTCAAATTTACAATTCAAATTCAACCATAACATATATTTTTCATGCACAACTCCATCATGACTTATCTTCTTCTACGATTGTTCTGAAACTCAAATCTCTACAACATGAGTATTGGTCCAACTACAATGAACATATTACTTAATGCTGACTTGTTAGATAAGGAACTCTACAACATGAGTATTGGTCCGACTGACCATAAAATGCTATCATGCTGCCTAGATAGCTAAAGATGTTAATAGCTAAACAACAATGCAAAGAATCATATGCCAAGTCCCCATACTCGCATATTGCAAGAGTCTTCATAACAACAAGATCGTAGTTGTCCAGGTAGGGCACAAAAACAATGTCCCCAAAAAATTCAGCTTCCTTCTTCAGCTCCACATTCACTTCCTTTCTGCCATGCTAGAGTTAAGAAACACCTTCAGCACAAGCACACAAAACAAATGAAGTAAGCTAAGCATTTGGGATTACATTGAAGTGTTTACCAGTGCAACGAAAAAACGAGCCACACTGTTTGGTGACTTGAGGACAGCAGACATCCATGTCTTCCTCACACCCATACGCTCAGCAAAATGATTGGCTGATGACAGGATGCCAATGAAAATCTCAACTGGCTCATCAGGCTGGTAGCATCCTCCAGCACAAACCCCTGCAAGGGCCACAACAAACATAAATTAACTGGACAAGTAGAGGCCAAGTACCGTATCGATAATCTCAACTGTCCCCAACCACTAACTATTTGAACTAACTGCAATAGATAGTGCATGACAATTAACAAGCATTCCCCAACATTTCTTACTGCATGAAGTGGGGAAACATATGCACTTACAGTGCGGTAAGGAAACGAAGTGAAATTACAATAGGCATCAGATCCTATGATAAACCGACCACTGAGTTGTGCATTCTCAACTGGCACAGAGGTCAGAGATTACCTCTATTATCTAAAAATAGGTCACTCTTGGTCATGGTAGGAGCCAAATTATCTTTGGTAGGCACGACAGAAAGAACTTATGAATATATAAAACTAAGCAACTAGCCCACAAGTTAATTTAATGTCATGCACCAAATCGTCAAGGCCAAACTAATTTCATAGGCAGTGTATTTGTTTTCTTTTGGATGGCATGAAGAAATCATTGTCATTCAATGGGGTCAACACGCACATGCACATGATCGGAAATGTCCTTGTTCGGCAAAACTAAGATTTGGCAAAATTAATCTGATCGGAAATCACCTGAATGCACCAGATTTGGCATGCATGTCATGCTGAAACCCTTAATTCCAACTAACATGAAGCGGCAAGCAAAACCATTCTAGCATCTGTTCTAATCTGACAGTACTGAAACTAGTCTAAAAGAACAAGTAGGAGGAGTTTCAGGTTTAACCACATCAAGTCCAGAGTACAGAGATTAAAAATTTTCAATTTTTCACCACTTGTTTGATCATAGTAGATATCAGATGAAGTGAAAGAGATATACAAGCAAAAGCTGAAACACTACCTAGAATCTTCCCTTCAACTATTGCAAGACTGAACACCAATCAAATTGGGAGATTCCTGATTGGAGGAAGACAGAAGCAAAACCCCAACTACGGAATTTACAAACAGACCCTACTAACAGTACATGAATGAATAGGACGATGTTTTTACAAGACATAGACCCTACTGTGATATATCAGTAGCTGCAATACTCATTAGATGTTGACAAACCAAACCATGTAACCTTAATCACAACAATTTATGCAGAGTTCATTCATGCAAGTACAAAGTAAACAGAGTTAACCCACAGAGGAGATCATCATGTTGTACCAAGGTGTTGAGATGTTGTTCATTTAAATAAGTAATCTATCATTTGTTCTTTACACAACCTTTTTCTTGAGTTTATTATTATACATATATGCTTTTGCATGATAAATAAATGTTGTAAAGTATTCAAAGTAAAAAGGATGAACGGTTAAAACTAACAAATTTCTGGGGTTTGGCATGAACTGTTAAAACTAACAGCAAGCTAAATAATAGCAGTATAGATCAATAGGTGAAAGTACAAGAGAAAGCAATCCAGTTTGATTGGCAAGCCTGTATTATTTGGAACTCATTACAACAACACGTGAAATAATAGCAGTATAGATTTATACACTTAAAATTAGTAAGCATAATACATTTATACACTTAAAACTTGCAATTAGATTAGATCCAATTATAGATAGCCAAATAGCTTAGTCGGATGGTATACCTGGGTGCTCCTGCAAACGTACGGCGCTGGGTGCTCCTGCTCGACTTGGTCGGATGCGCTAGGCGTTGGACGACAGTGCCGCCTGGACGAGTGACCGGCCACGGGTGTCCACGGCAAGCGCTGCTCAGGTGAGCTCCCACGGCACTAGAGCGCTCGGCGCTCGTAGTATTGCCTCCCCGCAACCCGAATCGAGCTCATTCTCGCCGCCGCACCCGCTTGCCAGATCCAGGCTCGTCCTCGCCGGATGTGGTGGTGGCCACTCGGATCTGGGCTGGTCCTCGCCGGATCGAGCTCATCCTCACCGGATCTAGTGGTGGGCGCCACCATGTGCTTCATGCGGCCTCCAGCAGCGCGCCGGAGGAGAGAAGGTGAAGGGGACCGCGCCACCAAGTCCCGCCACCGCTGGAGCTCGACGGGAGGCCGCGCCACTAAGCCACGGCACCGAGGCTCGCCTTTGTGCCTCCGGCTGGGGAGGGACAAGGTCCAGCACGCCGCCCGCAGGCGCAGGAGGGGGATGGGCCCCCAGCGATCCTGCCGACGCCTGGAGAGGGGGCACGAGAGCCTTGCGACGATCGCCGGGAGGCCGCGCCCCAGAACCCCCGCCACCCTAGGGTGCGCCGCCGAGTGCCGCCGCGTGGAGAAGAGGGGGGTGCGACGCCGTGCGCCTCCGCTGGAGAAGGAGGTCCCATCACCGCGTGGGGGAGAGGGAGGGGCGGCGTGGGGAAGAGACGGAGGGGATCAGAGGAGAGGGAGAGCGAGGGAGAGAGAGAGAGAGAGGCAGTAGATATTTTGGATGGGTGACTTAGTGACTGTACATGGGGCATTTGTAGGGGCGGCTCACTCACCAGCCGCCCCCAGTGTTTCTATTTGTAGGGGCGGCTGGTGATTGAGCCGCCCCTACAAATCCTACCCATTTGTTGTAGGGGCGGCTCGTATCACCAGCCGCCCCTGCTGTTTCATTTGTAGGGGCGGCTAGTCTCGTGGATCACGAGCACGTCACTGTAGGGACGGCTCCATCACCAGCCACCCCTAAAAAAATTGTCCCGTTGCTACAAACCGTTTTTCACGTAGTGGGAGCCAACCACCGGAGCAGTGGTGGGGCCCGACGATGTGGACGTGGCGCCAGTGCTGGAGTGTCCTAGGTTGACGCGCTGCGCCTCCAGCAGCGCTATGTTCGTGTCCGGGATGTGCGCCCCCGCCGCGGGGATGTACTTGCCCGCGTAGTTCCACGCGAATGGGTTGCACAAGAGGGAGACTCCATCAGGGTTCAGAGGCCGAGCTTGAAGAAGTTGCCCCGGAGGCCAGAGCAGCTGGGCCCGCCCTGCAACTAGAGGAGCAGTGGCCTAGAGGCCGGCAGTGTGACCGGGTTTGTGGCCTCGTAGAAGGGGAAGAAGAGGGAGGTGCTTTTTTATTAAATTTATCCTAGTCAACAGCTACGTGAAGGGGCATGGACCTGCAATGCACGACTTAACAAGTTCAGAGAGCTGGATTTCAAGTTTGAGAGTTCGTGGACCTAAGTGGCACAGAGCTACAAGTTTAAGGGCCGCCAGTGTAATTCCATGCTAACATCAAATTGATAAAAAAAAATTGTATATTGCAACAAAACCAGTTTTCACAACAGTAGTTATTATTACCTCATTGAAAGGATCACTGACCTCTGTAAGCTGCAAGTCAATAATTAATCACACACAACAAATTAAAGTAGGTACACACTAAATTACTAATGTGCAAGCAGCCATGCGTATACTGTTAAAAGTCAGTACTGAAATGCAGCTATGCAAGCTCAAGCTGTACTAGGTAGATAGATAACTAACATCTTGCCGGAATGGAAGAGCTAGAACATGTTTTTTTGCTGCTATAAGAATCCTATCGGTGCTTTCTGAGTTCCAATTGTATAGCTTAAAGAAAACAAAGAGCTTAAGACCTCATATATATATTTCAGACTTGACTGTTAATTGCCGGTTGCAGAATTGGATATTTGGGGGTACCTGGACAGCAGATGGGCAGGGAGAGCTTATCGCCAGCGGCCACCGGCATGTCGTCGCTGAGATTTGCGTCTTTGAGACACGAGATCGAGAATGAATACGAAGGAGCAGCCGCTGTGGCGCCGGCACAGTCAGGAGGACCTACGGTTACGGATTGCGATGTGAAAACAACGAACATCGGAAGATGAAACGGTGACGAGGGTTAGGCTTAAAACATTATCATGGTAGTGCCAATGAGGTTGTTGTGACAAACAGTGCTAGCTGTAGTAGTCTTGTTGAAGCGTCGTTCAGCGATGGTATGTCGTTTTCAGCGAATAATAGCGATGTTTTTTTTATATAATAGATATATGCCCGTTTGTTGCACGGGTCACGATTTTTTATCCTCGCCTACCGCGACACACGTGGCTTGTGGCTTACACAAATATAATAAAAGTATGTATGGTACAGCTCCGCTTCATCGATGGGGCAGTTTTTTATTTTTTGGTTTCGGACGGTGGAGCATCTTCACTGGTATAGCTGATGTTGTCTCAGAAAAATATTTGTTAAAATAGATTCACTTAGTTATCGAAAGCGGTGAAATGTCTATAGTATCCTTTTATATTCTTTTTCTTATTTTTTATCTTACTTATTTTTTCTTTTCTCTCTCCATATCTACCTTCTCCATCTACGTATACGTCTATACGCACATCCGACCTGCATGCACATGGACTCGTTCCCTTCGGGCTCGCGGCCTTGCCTCGTTCGCGCGCATCTGTGCTCACCCATCCGTGTCGCTCCACGCCAGCCAAGCGCCGCCTGGGTGTAAGGACCGTGTTCCGAATACAAATGTGCAAGAAACAAGCACGATTGGACAAAAGGGTTCGAAGTTGTACCAGGTGTGGACCAGCGGCTGCTGGTTTTCCGAATCTGTTTTATATATATATATATATATATATATATATATATATATATATATATATATGGTAAGGCTATACTGCAGCTGGGCATAGAATATCTTATTCTATTGCCACCTTGATTTATAATAATATTTGTTTCAATTTACGATAAAATGAATATGCATTTACGATACTCGTGTTACTACAACTCACGGTAATATTTACGATAATGTTATAGTAAATCACTTAGTAAGGAGTTACTGTAATTGTCGGGTACCTTAGAACGGGGTACCCCAAGCAAACATCAAAATAAAGCTAGAAGGTAAGCCGTGGGCCCCTCACCTGCCACGACCGAGCCCTCCTCCACCTCGCCTCGAGCCTCGAGCAGGGGGTCTCAGAACAAACTCCGCCTCGCGCGAGGCTCCCCAGGGTAGGTCTCGGCAGGGGGCGCCGAGCCTCGGCAGGGGGCGCCGTCTCCGTCTCGCCCGAGGCTATCCAGGGAAGGCCTCGGCAGGGGTACATTCTCCGTATCGCGCGAGGCGTCTCGCGCAAGGCCTCGGCAAGGAACCTGATCTCCGCCTCGCGCGAGGCCTCATTCTCCGTGTCGCTCGAGGCCGGCTCGTCCGCGGTCCGTCGCCCCCCGCCTCGGCCGACCCTCCCAACAACTCGTCATGTCTCATTAATGCTTCAACCACTCCCGCAATCTCAGCCGGACGGTGGCTCAACGCCACAGGATGGCCGACGCGATTCCAGTCGCATCGTCAGTATCCTCCCGGCGGGGACAGTGCACGACGGGATTACGGCCATCGTGTCCTACCACTTGTGTCCACGATCGGCACCATATCCGCATTTGGGGACAGTGCGACGGGATTACCGAC